AACCATATTTAGAGAGATATTCTAAATTCCCAGGGGCTTTCACTGTTGAGCTGAATCTTTTAACAGTTCTCCTTTGCTTGGAGTAAATGACCTATTTATGTTTTGGTTTGCATTTTATAAAACCTGAAATATGTGTTTCAGTTTTAAACAACTTTCAAAAATATCTTGAATAGTGTTCCCTGTTCATTCAAAGCTGTAAAACCTATTGATTCCATATTTTCTGTCATCATCATTCATTCTAGTGAAATTCTTCCAAAGAACTTAACCCCATGTGTTTGATCTGGTTCAGTTCATATGAAGCAAGATTCACCCTCATCTGACTTAACTTATATGTACTGAGACCACTGCTGCTGACATCCAAAACGGACATACGAAGTATTTTCAAACAGTGGCATTACTCACCTTTGATCTCTTATGATCTTTAGAGGAACAATTGCAGAGAAACAGATGTTGTAGTAGTTCCCAGTGGTCATGTTTCTGTGTATACTGAAGTTTCTGGCTAGCTATTGGCAAAAGTTTTAGGAGTCAGGATTGGGGAAAATGGCTGCATGCTGTAAACTAGGAGAAGAGAGCACCACCACCTCAACAGAGGGAAACTATAGAAGCCGCCCATTCTTGAGAGTATGAAGGTGCCTGCATCTTAGACTGTCCAGTTCCCCATTTGGGCTTATGCCAGCTCACTCTTCGTTGCCAAGCACTGATATAGTGCTGTGTGTGGGTACCAGCTCTTCAACTCAGCAGAATTTTGGTATTCTTTTTAAAGCTACATCTCTGACAGTGACTAGCTATTAAGATCACTGGTTTGTTTTTTCTTTTAATCACTAGATGCTAGCAGTGACCAGACAACTTTTTGTCATGTATAACTTTGTTACATTCCTACTGGATATGTTCCCCTATAATGAACTCATCGGTTTTTAAAGAGAGAACCTAGTAGTTCGGATTATAAATTGAACACAGTTCTAAAGATGTGAATATAGCAATGCTGTGTAAGGAAAACAAGATATTTATTATTCAGAGTGACTGGAAGCATCCATTTGTTTAGCTGGGTGAGATGAGTGGTGGGATATTTCAGCTGTCTGGAAGAATTGCCCAACATAAACTAAAACGAGGTCACTGCTTAATGTTCTTCTTTGGGTTTCTCTTTCAGCTAGAGAGACTTAAGAGAGAATGCACGTCCAAAAAGACTTCTGCTAAACAAATAAAAGACAGCAGGGTCCCTGTTAATGAGGTTAAAGTAACAACTACGGTAACCACAAAAGGAAGGAATACTGGTCCCATCAAAGTGAAACCTGGAGAGAAGAGTCGGAAAAATCTTCAGCTGTTGAGAGACATGCAGACCATCCAGACTTCACTACAGAAAGATGATATCAGCTGGGACTACTGACTGTTCTGCAGGAGATCTTCTTGAACCATCCCAGATAAACTTCCTCACATTCTGGATATAAAGCAGATGCCTTTCTTGCTATGTGAAAGAGACTACTGTATGCTAAGTGCACTTTTGAAATATGGGCCCTTAATTCTCCATCCCTGGGTTTGACTGTATGTGTTATTATCTAGCTTAAAACACATTCCATTTTTAAGGTACCCAGCCACTGAATCTAACCATAGGCCTCCATCGGTTCCTTTCGTGTTATGGTCCCAGCAGTACCTCCATTTTCTTTCAGCACACCAAGCACCGCAGATTTATGTGGGTTGGGTTGTGTGAAATGCCAGTGTGATTTCAGGCTATTGTTGAACTGTGCATTGGGAGGCTTCTCAAGATGCATCTTGTTGAAAATGATGCTGCAGCCCTGACTGTTTAAGGGCTTTTGCCACTTCTGTGTGCAGCTGCCATTACTCAAACTCTTCAGTGTCTAAGGGAGAACAGGTAAACCCCTTTAAAGGTGGTTGTGTGGCTCTCCTCAAAAAGCTTTCCTAGTTCTTGTTCTGCTACATTGCATCAGTCAGCATTAATGGCAGTGGATATTCTGAGTGCTCAAAAAAAGGAGCAAAATAACTTTATCAAATTATTTGTCTTAATGATTGATTGAATTATTTTTGAGTCTGAAGAGTGGAATTTTTCTACAGAATTCTGCTTTATGAAAAAGCTATAGGATCAGGGATAATATGCTGTCTCCTAGTCCACAGCTTTGGGTGGTAATGGAGCGAGATAAACCACGAGTGTTTTAAACTGCAAGTGCCTCAATCATGCCGTTCGGTCCTGGCGTCTTGCTTTTAACTTGAATATGCGCTTTGATGAGCTATCTGCTTTGGTAGTGGGTGCAGTTCATTTTGCACTGTGACTTGTACAGCTGAGTAAATGTTATTTATTATGTTAATAATGTAAATAATTTCCTATTAATGGAATGTATAGAACACCCAGATTACCCATTTATACAGTTGAAAAATAATAAAGCCAGCTTGCCTGTGAATGAATGGTGGGAAAGCTGCACTTCCTCTAAACTACCTGGGTGTTTGCAGCACTGTGCCCCACCCAGTGTGCTTTCTGCGGTGATGCGATATCTCCCTGGTCAGGGAGATGAACATGAGCTGCCAGAAAACTGTAGGTAAGGTGAGGCTCAGAGTTGTCCACCCTTGCCTGCAGCTTGACAGGCAGGGAGCTCTGTAGGGTCAACTCAGGCAGGAGGGATTTGAGTTTTAATTATCTGTAGGTGATCCATCCTGCTTGCCTCCTTGCATCCAAGGAACAGAAGGTTTTAGCTGTGAGGGGAGAAGTTAGAAGCTGTTAACCATTCCTGAAGCTATCCCCCTTAACATAATTTTTCTTGGAGACATGGGCTCCAGGTTGCTGGAGTAACTGCTTGGAGATCAGTTCATCCTGGCGGTTCTGAAAAATCAGTAGCTAAAACGACACTCAAGTGATTTTGCTTGGGAAGGACCTCGTGATCAGCTCGCTCAAAGATGGGTTAACTTCAGCAGCACCTCAGGCTGTCCTCGTGCAGCTCCTTACTGATGGAGGGCTCAGGAGTATTTTGGGCTCCATATGCACTGCATACAGTGCACGAGGTACCCAGGTTGGAATTAGGCCTACTAGGGGTGAGAGCATCAAGGAGCAGGCATGGAGTTGATCCCAAATCATCCCAGTGAATTTGGGCTTCACATGACTTACATAGAAAAAATGTGAATCTTCCTTTTACACAGAAGTTACTGTGCTAATGCACTGCAAAGTGCAGAAATTGTGGGGTTTTTTTTAATTGTGAAAATATTTTTGTAATACTGAGCACTGTATCAGTATTAGTACTGGTCTGTATAGGATAAGAGAAACTTGTCCAAAGATGAATTTCGTTCTCCTGTCATTCTAAATTTCAGCATTTGAACATAAGCATCTTGCAAGACCGTCTGCAGAAGAATGAGAGAGATTTGGATTCAACATAATAAAACAGCACTGAAAATTTAGTAACACTTACATGTCCTACCCGTCCTTTGGAGAACCACATAGTTGAAAATAAGAGCACAGGAACTTCACCCATTTATCAACTTTTATTAGTGTTGAGGAAACCAAACAGCTTTCATCAAAAAACAAACAAAATATACACACATAGTCAATCTGCTAATAGAGAATAATACTATGAACCATCTTATACAGTGATTGTACGTAAGAGCAGATCCACCCTTTGACCTTAAAGCAAATCCAAGTCCTTCAGAAGGTCCTTTGTGTGGATTCTTTGCACTATTGACCCATAACAGCTCAGGCTGCCCTATAACAAGTGCAGTGATGCTATATGGGCTGTTCCTCATTCCAGCAGAAGGTGGCTGTGGATTTCTCTGTAAGTACTGAGACAATGATTGCAGCAGAGCAGGCAGAAATGGAGACTGCAGGGGAAATTATTGTTACTGCCTGGGAAGGAATGTGGCTTTTGAAAGGCAGTTTCTTCTGTGTAAATGGGTCTACTCTTGTACCAGCACAGAAAATACTTCTCTGTTATGGATGAGAGGCAGAGTGAAGAAGCATGCTGATGGGTGCATCAAACAGGTGACCACAGTATGGGATTCTGTCATAAAAGATCAACACTGGAACACAGACCACGCAGTGCTGCTCTTCCTTAGCACGGTGATGAGAAGCAGCCTGGAGTTAAGATCCTTGTACATACATAACTTGCTCTAAGCCCTATCTATCTTGTATAATCCCATACTTACCTATTTGGAAGAGATGCAGTCATGGTTTCACGAACTGTGGTTTTTTATCTCCACTTCTACAGTAAATCTTTGTATTAAAACTGAATTTGGTGTTAAGTTTAGTCAGGTGACACTAATTCATGAAGTATCTTATGAGGAGAAAGACCTAAACACAGGGCTCAGAAACTGGCGAAGCTGTTTAGTCTACCAGAATAACCTGAAGTAGCAGTTGCAATGCAGGCAGAAAGGCTTCTTTGGTTGATATACAGTTGCTTCCATTAGTTAATAGAAACTGAAATACCTTAAGTACTCCACTATGATCCTGCACAGAAGCATTAAAATCACTACACATACCCAAGCAAAATGAAATGACAGATCCCCGCAGTTCACACATGCCCCTTGGTATTCCACTACCTTTCCCCTGATGAGTACGAGGCACTGGAGGACAGAGGAGCCGCAGAAAGCCCAGGGGAGCCATGTTCTGCTTCCCCCCTCGGAAATAAAGGTGCTTAAATTGCATCCTGGCACACCCAATGTAAACCATAAGCCAGACTCTAAAGTTGCAGAGATGGGAGTAAACTTCGTCTTATGAAGGTAAGTCACATCACTGTAGGTTGCTCCTCTACCACTGTGTTTTATGGGTAGAAGCTGCCCTTTCTTTAAATAAGGCATTATTTACATGGCTTCCTATGACCTAGATCAAAGTGAAGGGAAAAGCCAGAACAGTGATATGTTTCAGATTTTATCGCTGCTTGGCTCTAAGTATGTTGGCAAATGCTCTCATTAACAGTGCTCTGCAGACAGTAGTAGTGGAGGGTTCAGGACTTCACAGCTGTATTCTAGGCTCCAATACAATGTCAGATTCGGTTCTCTTTTAGCAACACGGAGATTTTTCAAACTTCCAAGTAGACTTTTTCCTCCACATCACTCTAGTGCACAGTCTCTCTTTAAAGCCAAGTGATTTCCAGCACATAAGTGAAAAAAGAAAGAGATCTAGGTTTCTTTTAGGTGGCAAGTGCAATTAGCTTGTGTTATAATTAGCCACCAAGGTGGTTAATTGCATAGGGGGCCTTGTTTGTTTGTTTGTTTTTGCTTAAGCTTCCTCTAGTGCTACAGTACTAATAAATTACCCTGGAGAGAAATAAATAAATAGGTTGGCATCTCCCAGACACCATGCTGGAAATCCAGAGGGTTTCAGAAAAGCTGCCCCCATGGTCCTGGGAAGGTACTCAGCAAAAAAAGTCCATATTATACAACTGTCTGTACAGGAGCGACGCACTGTGCGGGAGAGCCAGCTCTCTCAGAGGATGAAGTGGAACGGTTGGTGATTTCTCTTTGCAATTCCTCCACTTTCTTCTGCAGCTCGGCCCGCTTGGCAAGAAGCTCCTTGTAGCGATTGTGGACAGGTTCCTGCAAGAAAACATGCAGCTGAGTGCTGGGAGGTGAGCATGGAAGCAGAAGCCTGAACCACAAAACGCTGTCACTGAGCCGGCACACAGCTGTGAGGGAAGGAGCGGTGGCAGGTGGGTTGTGTCATTGTCTCCAGCCCAGGAGTAAGGAAGTAATTGCTCTGGCTTTGGGATACTTGTTTTTATCCAACATGCATAGTGCAATGGTAGCTAAACAAAACTTTGTGCATATTTTGAAAAATGATGATTACAAAACTAATCTGACATTTCTGGGGGACACTAGCCTTGGCATCTCAGCCTGACCCTAATTTCAGGGCTTTGGGAAAAAAAAAGTACAGATTTATCTAAATATTTTCACATAGTTTTGACTGTTAAACAGTTAGTACTGGAAGGCATTTGTTGCCTTCCTGTATCCAACGCCCCAGATTTGCAACACTCTTAACTGCAGTGGGACACTGAAGCAAGCTCGGAATTTTTGTTCCTTCCTACTAAGAAGTGATTTCAGCGTTTAGAGCTGTGTTCAGACCACTTGTCTCGGGTGCCTGCCCTGCACATGCCAGTTTCCCTGCTGTCAGGGTTCAAGAGTCACAGGGCTGCAGTCAGACCCCTGTGCCTCAGGCAGCTGAAGCAAGCAGCAGGTTCCTCTTGCCAGTAATCTAAAAACAGCCCCAAAACTCAGATCTGGAATCTCACATTCAAAGTAGTCTTAGGTTTTTAGGCTCTTTAAGCAGAGTGGATTCAGATTATTTTGCCCATATTCTAAGAAAGAAATTTTCCCAACTGCTGAGTATTGTCAGCTCCTGCAGATTTCACGAGTCAGTGACCTCCAGCTGAGCACCCGCAGCAGCCAGCTGTGGGTGCTGCTCTTCCATTTGCTTGCATTTGAATGTAGGCTTTTGTTTTTAGATTTAAGCAGTGACAGTGTAAGTTTATACATTATCTCTTCTGCTTCAAAGGTCTTGAACTCCAAAATGACAGTATGGTACTAGCAGAGAGGGAAATAAAAGCAGGATCCTTGGAAGAGCCGTACCTGCGGTTTCATCCTGGGGTTCCAGCGGATGTAGTAGCCAACCCACAGCTCGAGGTGGCGCATGCTGGCCACGGGATACAGGACGTGGTTGGAGTAGCTCACGTACAAGGGGTTAGTAAAGTCTTCCAGTTGGCTATTGATGTAAGACCAAAGCGACACCGTCTTTTTTGGAAGGCTCTGTAAGGGAAGGGGGTGGAAGAGGCTTTATTTCCCATACAAATCCCAGCATTTATCTACAAAGTATTTATAACAGCATGTACATATGCCTGTCATTAATACAGAGCTGGTTGACTTTTTGTAGCTTAAAAAAAAAAAGTTCTTTTGATGTGGTTATTGTAATCAAAGCACATGGACGCAGGCAGGCACCACACACCCTGGCACAGAAACATCCCCTCTCACCCACCCAGCTGCCAGCACAGACCAGGAATCGCCAGCGGCACAGCAAGGGGACACTGGCACGGGAACTCTCAATGCTTTGGTTAAACTTCACCTCTTTAAAGTGCTCCTGGAGGACTTGCTGGAGTATTTAATTGCAAAGAAAAAAAGAAAACATTTGACTTAAGCCCTGATCTAGTGCAATAATTAGGCCTGTGAATAGTCCCAGTGAAACCAAGGTTGAAGTGTTTTCCAGATTAAGTACTTTGCTAAGCTGAGGTCTTTAAAAAAAACCCCAAACCCACATGCAAACAGCATGCAGGTTTTCTTTTCTGGAAATTACAATTATTCAGTCAGTGTGGACTCTAGAGAAACAGAGGCCCTGATTTCCTTACAGTACAATGCTATCACTTCTGTACTACAGTAATTTTTAAAATTATTATTATTTTTATTTTTAAACTGATGTGCTGTCAAATACAATCACAGCGGGTCCACACAGCACTGTCCTCAATGTATCTCTGTGATGTTAGGCTGCAACCTTTTGGTGAAAAAATGCTTCATCTTCAGGTAGGTGAGACAGAATGAGTGTCACTGCTTTTCCTTCTGATTCCAGACTGGGTCTGAATAGGGCAGTGTTCGAATGGTCTGAATGTACCCGTCTATACACTCCTCCCTTGGCAAACAAACCTCGACCAGACTGCTGGGCAGAGCTGGCTGATGGCAGGACCTAGAGGCATGTCCTTCCTAATACCAGCAGCCCTGTCCTCTCCCAGGAAACACAAGCACAGCAAGAACACACACTGAGACCAGTTACTTGCTGTAACCTGTGTGTGCAGAATGACAATGCACACCTGGTAGTTAAAATCAAAGTAACAGGACTGCTGCAAGGAAAAGGGAGGGCAAAAAGGTACCAGGTTCCACAGAGAAGGTTATATTAAACTAGAGTTAAAAGTAAAATTGCATTTCCAACTACTCGGGAGACACCAGGAGCTATTCAGCCACCAGTGAGTAGCTGAAAGCCACGCTGAAAGCAGTGGGACTGTCCAGAGGGAAACTGGCATTGCTCTGAAATGTAAAGCCTCCAACAGACAGCAGTTCCAAGCTGTTAAGAAGGGGGCCTGGCATTAACCAGAGCTGCACCTACCACTGTCTGAGTGCTGAAACAATGTCTCTAGCAATACCTGGCCAGCTAAAGCAATTGCACTACCTTGGAGAGAAGCTGTCTTACCTCCTTCACTCTCTGCTGCTCGCTGCTGCATAGGAAGGTCCCAAACAAGCAGCTGTACAGGTGATCCAGGATGGTTATCAGGAAGTACTCATTGAACTCAAATGCTGTAGGAAACTTCAGAGAGAACAAGAAAATTAGGCTGGGATTTAAGAACAGGAATCGCAAATAAACTTTCTCCCACTTTGTGGTCTTGGTAAGGAGCTGGCCTCTTCTTTATTTCTAAACCAGGATTTGTCTCTGTTCTTTACCTGGCAGAATATTCAGGATCATATTTGCTCCTTCGAGGAGCAAGATTTTCTCTCCTGGAAAACTGCTTTATGTGTGCAGAGAGGAATTTTGAGCAAAAGCCAGAGAGAGGTCTGAAGGGTTTGACTGCTGTGTTTATACACACTCAGTGCCGCTTCAAGCGGAAGCTTGCCCTGCTCTGCCTGCCCCTAATGACAGACCATGCAACGAGACTGGGAACAAAAGGCTGAAGCATATGTGAAATAATGCATAAAAAAATGGAAATTTCCCAAAGCCAAATGAAAATAACCTGTGTGCTCCTGACGTACGGTGCAGAAACAACCAGACCCAAGACAGGGAGAACTGAAGCTCCACAAAGGCTCAGTAAAAACACATGCGATAAACTGCAAAGACATGCTGGGGTGATGGAGAAGAGAGCAGGAGGCCTTCCTCCCTTGCAAACCACCCTTCTCTTCCCAGGCTGCCCTGGCTGCAACATCCTGACCTCACCAGCTGCAGGTCAGGACGCCTCCTTGTAGGAGCAATCCAAGCAAAGCATGATGAAAGTTGCTTTTCATTATGGTAAAGCCTCCCTCTTTTTCTGCTTGGAAGGAATAGTGGCATCCTTCTCTTCCATTTCACCTGTTTTAATCCATGATGAGCCCAATTTTTTCAATGAACTGCCTGACCATGGCTGATATTTGCCACATGACACGTTTTGTGCCACAGCAGACACAAAAAACCTTCCAGGTGACACATACCTGGGGGATCCCCAAGCACAGGAGTTCTCTCCTGAACTGTGCCTCTGCCATGCCTGGTCTGAAATGAGGAACTGAGCTACTGGCTCTGTACATCACCTGTGAATCCTTCTCTGGAGACATTCAAGGCCCGCCTGGATGCGTTCCTGTGTGACCTGAGATAGGTGTTCCTGCTCCTGCAGGGGGATTGGACTAGATGATCTTTCGGGGTCAGTTCCAATCTCTAACATTCTGTGATTCTGTGATCAGGAGCAATATGTTTGCCTTCAGAAGTTAAAATGGAGCAAACGCATGTCTCTCTGCAGGTTTGGTTATGGGATTAGCTTGCGCAGAGGCAATCGTGATCTGTGTGCACCCACCACACTCAACTGAGCTTAGCAGCTCCAGTCATTTCTGCTTCTGCAGACACAGTGGGCTACTGAGGATGCTGGTTCCTGCCCGTGATAAATGTGAGGCAGCCATCTCCTATTTCAGGGTGAGACAAGCTGCTTCACACAAGCTCACGTTTATTACAGCAGCACGTAGGTAAGCAGCACCCACTAACTAGGGAGTCTGATGCAAGGTGACATTGTGGCCTTCCTGTGCACTTGTGCATTCAGGCTCTTTGCTAAACAGACTCCCAAGAAACTTGTGGCCAGAGTCAAAACAAGAGTAGAAGCCCAGGAAGGTGAGCCTGTGCAGGTCCAGGCTCCAGTGGCCAGACACTGCGCCATGTCTCAGTACAGTGGCTTCATGGACACCTGTGCCACCCAGCAACTTACCTGTCTTGTCATTTGCCAGACACAGTCAATGAACTGGAGGAAGACAGGAGAGCGATCCGCGTCTGCATGATTCTTATCTCCATGGCCAACTCTCTGAAACAGAGCAGGACAAAGAACATGAGTCACATGGGGCTTCTTGGGGAAGCTGCTGGGGTCTCCTCAGTCACTCAAGCCTTTACCAAGAGCTATAAGATGGTTCATATGAATCCTGATTTTGCTTTGTCCACATCAGTGGGTAAAGGAGTAAAGGACAGCTACTCCCTTTGTCTTTGAAGTGAAATTTTTTTATGGGGATATTTTCACATTAAATTAAAACAAGAGCTGTTTGAGTAGAAGCTCCAGATGCTATGCTGGCACTGATTTCAGTTAACAGCTAAAGTTCATAAGGAAAAAAATGAGAATGCTTTTTGCTTAAGTTGCAGCTGTTGTCCTGGCTACTTCAGTAGTACAGCGTGCTAGATCTAAACACTACCTACAGGCACGGCATGTGGTGATAACCGTCACACAACACCTCGCAGCTTCCAAGCGCTGTACAAACACTAACCCAGCCCATCTCCTGCCACCTCAAGAGAGGCGGTGATGAAAGTATTCCCAGAAGGAGGCCTCTAACCCTGACCGTGCTGTGTGGCCAAGACTTGTGAGGCCTGATTCCTTATAACTAGTATAGTACGTTAGTGGTTATATATTACCCAGGAGCCCTAAGTACGGTACAAAGACAGAAAAAGAACATGTAAGTAACAGAGATCCCTACTTCTGTAATACTGTTCTCCCCTCACCAAAGGAAATCAATATCCCTGTCTTCTTTGGATAGACAGGGAAGCTAAAAACACTCACTGTTCAAACACCAGATAACAGTTTTGCTGCAGCAGAACCTCACTTGCTTACTGCCTCAGTTTCCCCACCTTCCTCAGAGCATTTGACTTTGCAACCCACCATCGCATGTGCTGTAAATAGACCTTGTTCTAGCTCTTGCCAAAACTAAACAACCACAAGAGAACAGCTACGAGCAAAACACAATGGGAGCAAAGACTGAAAGGATACTACTGAAAGGTGCTCTCAGTTCCCATCAGTGCAAACCGTAACAAACTGCTGTACTACAGAAGTCCACAAAGCTGCCTCTCTGCCAGCTCTAGGGACACAACCACAAGCTACTCTTGTCTAGTCTCAAACTGCTGATCTTTTACGTAAACAATTAAAAGCCTCCCCAAAAATAAAATGTGCCTGAAGAAAATGTGGGGTCAAGGCCATAACCAAATTCCCCAGCCTCTTCAATACGAAGGTACTTTTTAGGTGTCAGTGTCCAAGCAGCCTCAGAAAATGGACTGAACTGGAAAGAAAGACAAAACATACCCCAGTGGTCTCTATCAATTCGCAGCAGAAATGCCTATCCTGAACCCAAAGCACACTGTTAGTTTAAGCCTAAGCATGGGAATGCATCAGTCAGACACCCGAGAGACTTAATACCACCTGTTCCTCGTATCTAACCAATACTGTCTCCAAGGAGGTTAACAGATGACTGGAGTTATATGCAGAAAACAATAGCAGCAGCATTCACCTTTCTTCTGTGAGTTCAGCTGGGAGACTTCTCAGAGCAAAGGCTAAACTCCTTTGAAATCCTTCAAGGTGGACAATAACTTTCTGTCCAGTGCCTTCCAAGGGCTAGTGACTCACCAGCTGAAATCTGTGGCCGAAGCTCAGCCACTCCTTCTCCACTAGCACTTCAAAGCCCCTGATAGTTCGGTAGTAGCCGTCTAACATGAGCAGAGAGAGAGAGGTGAGCTGGGCTGTTCGGTCCCAGCCATCACTGCAGTGTACAACCACAGACGTCTTCCCCGATTCCACCTTGTCGGCGATCCGAAGGGCTCCAGCAAGAATGAGCTGGGACAAGGAAAAAAAAAAAAAAAAAGTTACAAATTCTCTTTGGAACAGAAACTACAAATGAAAAATGGCTAGTGACAGCACAGGACAAACCAAGGGCTCCCTCTGCCTCAGGGAGAATGGTTGATCAGTTTCAACTACTTTGTAACTAGGACAGCAAATTGGCGGACACATTTTTTGTTCCAGCAAGATGACAGCACATCTAAACTGTAGCAGAGGCACAACTCTAGAAGAGGTCCTGCATTAAGCTCAGTCCTTGGACAGACCAGGATGTAAACGCAGGAGCATTCTGTGTCTGAACATCAACAGAAAATGGCCATCACCTTGCAACTGCCCCTCTCTGCATTAACAACCAGAGAACATAAATTGGACATTTTCATGAAAGAGTGAGCTTAATTTAAAAACCAACACTGGTAGAAGCTGAAGCATTTTGCCTCATTACAATTCTGCTTGGATTCCTGAAAAGCTGCTGGGGCATGAACTCCCAACATCTACTGGTCTGGACCAGGCAGTAATACCAGGATGTCAAGGATCCCTGAGTCAAAAGCTTCAAAATTCTGGGACTCCTATGCTCTAACCAGGTCTTTCACAGTTATACATTACCCAGGAACACACTTCACCTCCAAAACACTATTTTTTTAAAGTGTTTAAACCCCCTCTCTTGTCCCTCTTCCCATCTCCTCAAAATTCCCCATTCCAACTGTGGTTTTAGTTGTTTTTAAAATGAAAACTAATTGTAAGTCCTTTAATTTCTTATGAACTGGAAATCCAGCACTGGACTTAGCTCTGGATACATTTCCCAGTGAACAGACTGGTACAGACTTGTGGTTACTCAGCAACATACAGTGGGTGCAGACATGCATACCTTGATATGCTCTAGCCAGTGAGTTGACTCTAAATTAGACAGCCAGTGAGTCTCCTCGATATTGGGATACACAATTTCTTTTAGTTTTCTCAGTGATTCTCTCATAACATGAATATTGTGAATGTCCAGAAACACTAATTCTGCGTTCTGATAGGCATCCTCACTCTCATAGCCTCCTCCTTTAGCCTGAAGAACAAATTCCACATAAAAATCATTAAGCAAAAACATATTTTATATTTTATCCCAATTGTTTGTCCTGAGCAAATATCAGCTGACAAAATACCACAGTGATTGTGCTATCTATAGCAGGCAGAAAACATTGGATTTATCTTACAATCGGGAACAAATATGTACACGAACACACTTTGTGCTCTTTCCTGCTATAGTAATGAATGCTATAATTTTTACCAAAGAATACCACATTACAAGCCTTCTTTTTCTCTGTAATTATCATTTATCCCCTATTCAAGCTGCTAGCTCATTAGATTCACTATTCTGTCATTTACAAATTTACCATACTATTATAGAGGAGTATATCCCACACACTAATTGCCTTTCCTAAGAAGTGGGAAAGACAGATTAAAAAAATAAAGAAAAAGAAACCAGCTTTAGTGGAACAAAGCAGTTTTACCATTCAAACAGGGCTTAGAGTGATGGCAAGAGACACAATAGCAGGAAGAACACAGCAACATTCCTAGACATTAAAGATCCACAGCTTATATTTTGAAATTAAAGATCATGATGCCTGATTTTCAGAAGTGCTGAGTAACCTCTGCTCCCATCAGGGGTTAAGAGGGACAGAGTTCTGGTGCTGTTAAAGGAAGCAGTCTTTCAACCATGTGAAGTAAAAAATGGTCATACACAAGATCCAGAGTGCTAAGAGTTTGACCTCAGCACTACCTTGATTTTTTCTCTTCCAATCTCATTTCAAGTTGTGGATTAATCCAAATGGACCTTTTGTAGTCACACTGATACCTACTGATATCAGTGCAGGTGTAAAAGTCTGTCTAGGGAATCAGATCATTGCATATGAATCTCTTAATGGTAGAAAAGGAAAAATTTGAAATGGTGGTGGGAAATGTGCTCTAAATGACTATGTTCCCAGCTCTTGACACAGGAAAAAGCACCTGACCTTATTGGCTACAGCATTCACACTAGGCCTTGCATCAAAGATGAAGATTTTATGAGACTGAGCGTTAGAATCCATGATGGCTTGAAGGTACTTTTCATCTTCCTTGCTTCGTTTGCCACTCACTCCCACCATTGGCTGGCTACAGCGGGTGATCGTTGCTTGGCTTTCTGGGTGAATCCATGACAATACCTTTGGAAACAAATGAGAAAGAATTGAATGAAAGATGGGACTCATTAAACCAATGAAGTGTTTTACCTGTAATGGCTTGTGCTGGGATCCTGCCATGTATTAGCTGGTTCCAGAAGGCTGGATTCTATTAAATCATGACTGAATGAAAGAAATATCTCTTCTGTCATTACTCATTCCTTCTCGTAGCATTCCCAAAGTTTGAACAAACAAGAGGTGACTGAATAGGTTTAAGCCTGACTTTTAAACATGATGCAAACTGTTTTCTCACTATTGTGTGAGTCACAAACACACTTTCTTGCTCTGCAGTCATTGGGCTATGTCTTACTCTATGTTACACCATGTAGAAATTCAGCACTTTAGGAACAGATTTGATTTTCTATAGGCTTGACAGTAAAACAGTCAGTTAGTACGGAAATTATCATAACAATGTGGTTTTTTTCTTAACTTCATTTCAAGAGTATCACTAACTATTCATCCATCCTGAAAGTCAGAGTAAGCGAGACAATTGTAAACAAGCAAATAGGGCTGATTTGCGTTGCCCAGGAACTGAACTGAGATTTGGTCTGGGTTGCGCTAAATTATCTTATCTTCTCATTTTTGGTTTAGTCTACATCTCTTTCACAACAGTAGTTCCAGCAGATAATGTTGCTTTCTAACTCCTCAAACATGTCGCTGTCACTTTTATTATCCATTGACCATTTACTTGCTCCCTGGAATCCACTCAGCATGATCTTGGTATTATTTATGGCCCAAAGGTATGTAACAACACCACATCAAAGTGGCTTCTTTTGTCACACTCACTGGTATGCGTCCTCTTGATCTGAAAGATGCTACTCTCTTTAATTCTTCATCGGGAATGTTTACGGGCACAGCTAGAATGGCAGGGTATGTATCACACAGCTCATAGCGCTCATTAATCTTGGTCAACCTCCAGCTTTCATTGGGAATTCCCTGAAGAGGAAACAACAGCAGGTTAGCAAATGAGTTGCTCTGAGACCTCAGCACAGTCAAATCCCCAGACCTGAAATTCAAGGCAACTTCTCTTAATGAAGGACATTTAGGGCTGGAGCCTGGGACTGCATGATCTTGGTAACTTACATTTCATGCCTCTTCCCAGAGAGGCAGATGTTTTTCTCATATCACTTGAAGGACAGGAAAACTAGAAGACTGAAGGCAGGCTCACCTACGGCAAAGGAACTGTGGAGGTTACAGATCTGCCAACACGGGTGGTTCTCCTGAGAACCTCCAGGTCCCATCATGGTGCTTACAGGAGAGCCAGGAGCAGGACAGAACAGATGAACAACAGTCCTCACTCCTCTCAGCACTTAGCTCAAAGGTGGTGAGTAGAAACCAGGGACAGAAAGTGGAGTTGCCAGACAGGATGAAGGGGAAGACAGAGAGAAGAACAGGCAGTAAAACACCTTAAAAAAAAACAAGGTTTTGGGCCTTGTTCAGTATCTGTGGCACAGCTGTGCAATCCCCTAAAAACACCAGAAACCTAATAATTGTATGTCTCTGGCTGTGTGACTGCATGTGACTTGGGCAGTGATGTGTAACTCCCATGTTCCTCTCAGACGAAGCTCTCTGGTTGCACTAGCCGGACTTGGCCTGGGAGAGCAGGGAATCCACGCACGCACATCACCGAGCTCAGCATGCCCTGATGGGGAAGCAACTCAAAAGAAGCACAATGGGGACGATCCTGACAACCTGCAGACTTAATTTGGCTAACACTGGGAATTAACAGATCAAAACGGTGTGGCTGCTACTGCGTGTCTGCAAGGAGAGATTTAGACAGACACATGCTACAGGGGTGAGCACTGACACAAAGCATCTCTGGGGAGAAGACAGATCTACCGCAGTTCCTCTATGCAGTGAACGTGGCTAGACTTAAGCACAGGGTTTGATGTAGAGGAACATCAGTTCTTAAAACAATACACGCTTTTATTCTAATAAACAGTACTTCATTTTAAGGGGGGTGGTAGGACACTGATTACCACTGTCACTGCTCCCCCAGGAAATAAATGAAAATCTAACACAAGTCAGGTGAGCTGCAGTAATTATGGTTGATCCACACAGACTGCAGCCAGTTCCCCCTCAGAGTGGTAACACTGTCAAAACAGGTCATGGTTAGAAATCTGAGGAGAAAACAGACCTTCTGTCTAATACCAGTCACACCCTGCTTCTGAACCACCCCTTGGCCAGGGCCCTCCCTGGGAAGGAAACATTACTACAAGGAAGCAGCAGAGCTACCAGGACCACAAATACCCCAAAATCCTAAAGGAAAGTTATTTTTGATACTGCCTGAAGCCAAAGAAGTGTCAGAAACAGGCATCAAACAGTGTGTATGCAGAGTCCAAGCTTACTGATGAGTAAAACATGCTCAAAGGTCTGCCTGCTGTAGACAGCAAGGACAGAATCTCCTGGGTCCACCAGCTCTGCTGTCAACCAGGGAACAGCAAGACTTGCTCTTAGCTGTCCATCAGCTGTGATCAAACTGGTTACTATCTGGGAGTGAGCTAACGGCAAATTACTAAATTGTTCTCAGTCCTGTCCCAGTACCTGACTGTATGGCAGTGCATCCATCAGCACCGCTTGGAGAATTTCACCTCCCCCAAACCTGAACTAAAACTACACTGTTGGCACACTCTTGGCAAGGAAAATGGGATTTGATAAGCAGTTACGTAGAAGAAAAGCTCCTTTTTGTTCTACCCTGCAACTGTACCAGTGTTCACTGAGAAGATCAAGCAGTCGCTGGCACTATGAAGCACCCTCTTCACCGTGCCGGGCAGAACTGCTCCAGCACACACCGCTCGATCCAGAATCAACAGCTCCAAAGCTCTAAGTCTTTCAGCTGTCACCGTGACAAATTTCAATTAAATCTTTCCTCTGCAATAGCCCAGACCAGGAAAATCCATGACAATCCCTCAAAGAAAGAAAAGATACTGCACATCAGTGCTCAAAATTACTTTGAATCACAAGGAACGGCTGTGTTCCCCTGGCACAGGAGCCTTGAATCACAGCACCACCCAAGGGGGCTTTGGATTCAGATCATGACTTTCTGTAGCAGAAATACACAAAGCAGGCTAGAAGAGGAGCTGAATATGTATCTTCCCAGGACATTTGCCATAATGCAGTGGAGCTTGTGCACTTACTCATGCTGCTTCGGATCTGCACTTTCTCCAGCTGGAATCAATAGGAAAAGCTAAACACAATATAAAGCACGTTGGTATTTCCTCATATAAGATGCATTTCACTGCTTCCTGGAAAGTTGTAAGCACCCAAAAGCCTACTACTAAACCAACTCAAAGCGTTACAGACGTAACTCAAGAAGCCTCTGCAGGCTCAGGACCAGCTGTGGGAGCCGCCTGCCCGTGCACCTGCGGGAGGAACCCAGGGACACCTCGCTAACAGCGGGTGCGATGGTCCAGGAGCTGCTAGGGAACGTGCCTGCTGGGTGTCCCTGTTAGTGACCAGAGCCTGCTGCCCTGACTGCTGCACAAGGTCTGTCTTCTCCAGGTGAACTAACACTGCTAGGAGACCCTGATTTCTGGGGAACTCATGTTCAGTTGCTGCCAGAGGGCAAAGTGAGGAGGGCAACACGGCCACATCTACAGTTGTAAATTAAATGTGCCCATGACTATTCTCATCAAAACCAGCTAGCACAGTACACCTCACATCCATACTATTAAACTCGTTTATCCTCTAAACAGAGCAGTTTGTCCAATTACCTACTGGTGATCCCCGGCTTGTGCCAACCTCTGAACTGTGCCCAGGTTTGGCAGCAGGCAAGCTGGCCTTGCAGCCCTCCCTCCGCTCTGCCCCACAGGGGCCCAACTGCCTCCTCAGGTCCCAGCTCTGATGTGGCCCAGCTGCACATCAACAGCTTTGTCTGCCAAGGACACTGCAAAATCATGCGAAAGAGCTGTGTGAAAATCTATAAAAAGTCAAGAAATGTAAAATTGCAGATAGAGGAAGAAGGGGGTTAGAACTCAATGATCTTTAAGGTCCTTTCCAACCCTAACCATTCTATGATTCTATGACTGTTGAGATGGGGATTGCTGGTAGCTCAAGGTTTCAAGGTAAAATATTATGAAATGGTAAAAATACAAAAGTAAAAACTGTGAGTCTAGTACGCAGTCACTGGGTGAGGGCTAACAGCTAGGTCACCTGTGTGCTGATGTTGACATTACCGGTGGCAGATGTTGATCATTCTCCTCTCACCATCCTGGCCAGGAAAAGCTCTTCAGATGCCTTCCCTGAGGTGGTGAGTACTAATGCTCAGCCTAGTAGCTGGTTAGGTCCCTGCTTTTTTTGTGTGTTAGCCAGTAATTACCTGTTTTGTACTTTCAACCTGCATACACCCTGCTGGCAGAGTGTCTTCGTGCGTGGCTAAAGATGCTCAAACACGCTCACTCAAAAGAGGGACAGTAACAGCCTGGACTGAAGCTATGCCTGGAACTTGTGATGAAGGTGCCCCAGTGCTTGGGAACACTCCTTACAACTGTATAATAAAGACACATCCTTTGTGTCATCTCCATACACAAACCAGATTTGGTTTCCCTCTGGATTCACGCCTTACTTAATAACTTGGGCTCAGTTATCACTTAACCTACACATGTTGTAGAACATGGAGTTTCTTCGTCTGCAGGGAAAAACTGTGGAAGACACACCAGCGTGGCACTGAAACCATCACCTTGCAAAGCATGTGTTTAAGCTTAAGCACACAAGGATCTTTCATTGACAGGAAAAAATAAATTTCCCTGCTGGAATTACACACAGTGACATCTCTCTACAGGATCCAGTACACTGATTCTGAGCTTAGCCAGGCAGCTACACCCTGAGCTGCAATGGGAAAGGCAGGCAGGGTCCTGTGGTACCCACCAGCAGTGCTTCTCTCAAACTTGTTTTGAGCCAGGAGATACCAAGAGGCTGAGCACATAAGCTCAGGCACATCCCTACACCCACACACGATACAGCTGCCAGAGCCACACTGGTCCCTCTGCCGTGTACTCAGCCCAGGTTGTGTCCACTTAGCACAAGAGAGCTGTGATCAGTTCTGCAGTAGTGTCCACTTAGCACAAGAGAGCTGTGATTGGTTCTGCAGCAGAGACATAAGCAGGACCTCAGTTAAACCACGGGACATTTAACAGTTCAATTCTCATTCTACTACCCTAAATTACACCAAACAATCCTCTGTAGGATGCTGTTCTCATGCTCTACCTTTCCCACTCTGTTTGCGTACTAACACTGGGCACTTCTTTTATACTCAAAACAGATCAGCTCCTCTTCAGAATTATTAATTTCTGCATGTTTTCTCCGAAAGCAGCAACCACAGCCCTATATTGTGGTTCCCTGGTACATACGATGAGAGCACAGGATTAGACAAGTATGACTTCTGTTTAAACATCACACATTTCCAGCTTCACAACCCCTTGTAATATTTTCCAAATGCTCCCCACCTTGTTAAGGAAAATGAAAGCTTTAAGTTACTCCAAAGGCATCTCAAGGCCTTTTGGTTTCAACTGACTCTTACTCACTTTGTAATTCTGTTTTATACTCTGCCAGCCTGTGTGTAATAAAAATCAGGGAGCAATTTCAGTTTTAAGTTTCATTTGCCACATGTGATTCCATTTACCGACTAAATCCCAAACCTCTCTAAGTTCCTTTTGTTCTCTACAGGTTGTTTATTACTCCCCGTAGTTTTACACAATCACAGATTTTTAATAAGTTACATATTTCCATCTTTCCCAAGAACACTTCCAGAGAAGTCAGGGGTTTACTGAATCTCTTTCCTAATTGCTACAATCTCTTCTTATATCAACACAGTTATATTAATCTGAAAAAAAATATAATAAATAAGTCATACCACAGGGCAATCTTGCCATGCCTACCAGTCTAGACATGTATCCTACTCTAAATGTCTTTTCTGGATGCCTGGTAGTTGGCTTCTACTTTTGCTCTGCTCCCCTCTCTCTGTGTCCCTGCTCCCACATGGAAACGACTGAGCTGGCCCAAGACACACCAAGTTAACACCCGGCCGTACCGCTGGGCTGCTTATGCCCTAGGCCAGCTCTTCTCTAATAGTTTTTAAACCAATTCCAAAAAGTCCTGCAGGTAGTGCATATGTCCTGCTTTTCTATTTCTGATCACAATTCATACAGTCAGAGCCAGGCAATGCCATTATCTGAGTTGATGATGCCAGTTTTGTTTCACTGGTAACAAAACCCTGCTGCCATTTCAGGACATAATCCTGATTTACTGTAGTTTTGTTATTGCTTAACAGAACTTGGTTGGATTAAGAAAAAAGGCTAAGACATGCACATGGATAAATTGAGCATCCACAGTTATAAATGCTGAAATTAAATAAACAGACTGAAATGCCTGAAAGTTTTGGAGGGGACATAACGCTTCACACTGCAGGACTTAAATCAACTCTAACAAAAGGGATGAAATCCTTCTCCTGGCCAGATCACATCATAAACATCTTCTGTAGTACGGTTTGCCTCTTCTTCAGCAGCTGGTGTTGGTCACTTCTGGAGATAAGCTACTGGACTAGATGGATTGTGTGATCTGGGATGGGAATGATTGTGGCCCATCATGGGTAACATTCAAATGTCTGCAAAAAGTCCTGGTTTGGATTCCTTTTTGCAGTTACCAATGTAAACAAATGACTGAGAGCTTCAGCATATGGACATCAGTTTGATTTCTTGACATAAAAGCAGTCAGGCTAAGTCTTTCCTGTCTGCTCAAAAATGATACAAAAGCAGGTCATTAACAAAAGAAGTACATGCTGCAGCAATGTCTCAATCATGACATGCTTTACACACAACAGTGTTACCTTGTGCAACCAGAAACAAAGACACTACAGCCCAGAGTGCTGTTTAATTTACAGAAAGGCCTTGAGCTGCAAATCACATGCATGTAAATATATGTATCCGTTCACTGTGTAACCAAGCTCCTGCCAAATTTAAGGTACAGACAATCACAATATAAGAACTAATATGGATGGGAAAACTCGTATTCTGAAAACAGACATGCCAGGATTAAGAAATTGGAATAATTTGCCTTGAAATTCTCAAGGGTCACCCCTCCTTCTTTCCAGGTATTGTAAGAATGCCTTTTGTATTTCATCTGTTTTAACTGAAGCTTGGCTAAGTGAATGCTGTGCTTTCAATGGAGATTATTTTGATAGCACAGGTATTCTTTAGTTTTTACTCCAAAGTTCTCAGTCCTGTAAAGAAGCATCTTTCCCACACACCTTGGGCTGCAGATCCTTCTTTACAAACAGATCTTTCCTAAAATAACTACCAAGAAAGAGGTAAATTTTAAACAAAGCAATAATCACTGCATTATCTAGTCTTATTAGTCAAAGTCAACCCTAGATACAATGTGTGCCGTTGATTACAAATGATTGGAGTTTGCCTCTACTAGGATTTTAGATTGTGGTATCTCATCGCAAAACATACACTTTTTTGCAATGAAGACAGTGGAGGTAAGATACATCTCACTTTCAATTAGCAGCCTAGAAGCCAGCGATCTATCTTAGGCAGCTATTTTAGGAGGGAACAAATCACCCCCAGCAGTGAAGCGCTCTCTCCCCATCTGTTAATGACAGGCCTAGACAACCAATTTAGAAGACATGCCCAGCTTTTAGAAGACTAAAGCCAGGAGAATGAATCCCCCTTCCTTAGGTTTTGGATGTCAGGAATCAGATGAACAACTAGGCTAGGACAGACATGTTGTTTTGGTTTGCTTTACACGAAAGACTCAAATAAACCCTTAAATTACATGTCTGTAAATTTCTCAATTTTACAAAGGAAAATTGGTTTTATCCTGGCAGATCTGAATGAGACCAAAGTTTACTGTGTCCAGTGCAAAGCTGTCACCAAATTGTGCTCTTTCCTCAACTTGAGTATTTCATGACAAGAGTGATTTCATTACAAAAACCAAAATTCCTCCATCTTTTCCACCAGGGAGGACCACTAGGATTTTTATCGCAGTATTCCTAACTGGCAGCCTACCACTTCATGACCTACCTAACACCTTTGACCAGTCTACTCTGGACACAGTACAACTGTCTGTTCCAAGCTATGGTTAATCACAACAATCTCTAGGTTTATCCCTACACTGATTCCCCAATAAAACAAAGGCATTCTACATTTAAGTTTTTCCTTCCAAGTTCCTGTTTGAGAAATCTTACAGAAAACTGGAAAGAATTAAAACTGATACAAGCAAGAGCGGAGGTGTTAAACTCAACAATGGGATGTCTGTGCCTGCAAAACACATCCTCCATTCCTCACTGCCAGCAGGGGCTGATGACTAAGCCAGAGCAATAGTTTTTGTCTACCAAAGCCTAAAGTCAGCTCTCTGCAGCCTGAGTAATCTCCATCAGCGGATAGATCTCTAAAGATGTACTACTGTCATCAGTCTCTGCAGTGTGGAGAACAATGTCCTAACCCAGCCCGCACGACATTTGTCAGCAGGATCATTCTCTGCTCCACGCAACCTGTAATTGTATTACTGCACAGAGCCTCACTTCTGAAAAGTAGAGAGGATGAGGAAGAACATAGCACAATACCCACCTGCCTTCTGTACTCCCAAGTGGGGTCATACACCTTCCATCCGTTTTCTGGGAAAACCTCTTTGTACTCAAATGCAAAAAGTGGCTGAAAGAAAGAAGATTTACCATTAAGAGCAGCCTCAGAGCTCATTTCCAGGATGTTTGATATCTCAAATAATGACTCATGACTGGTCCTTTTTTTCCCATTGCACCACTTTGCTTTTAGGCCTTTGTGAGAAAGATCAACATGCTCACTGTAGCAGGTAATTAGTACAACAATGTACCTTCCTCTATACCCCTGATCTTGCTTGACTATTACCTAGTATTTCATGGACAAAAGGAGTCTATTATTAAAGAGAAAGAAAAGACTAGTTGGGCAAGAACGTTTTTACATATTAAGAACTAGATCCTTCCAACCTCTATTTGAAGCAACAATTGCAGTGTTATAACACAACAGAACAGACGAACTGCATTCCAGAACTGGGAGCAGTGCAGTCACCATTAGCTGTAAGCGTCCGATGGAAGTCACTGTGCTTTGAATATCTTCCCTCTGTTATGAGGATGGGAGTATCCATAAATTATTTTCCATGCATGAAGGAATCCAGCCTCACAGTAGTAGACTCTTCCTGTTTCTATACAATCTAAAATCCTACAGAATTAATTCTAAGACAGATTTAAAAAAAACAGCATTTCTCCTCCTTCAGCAAAATGCACCCCATGTCAATATTACACCAGATAGACAGGACTGAACAAAACAGCTAACAGCCACTCTGTGTCTTTTGGTAACAACCGAAAAGAAAATACTTACCAGATTGTTTGAAACTGGGAAAGCATATTTCATTAGGTTCTCAAATATGGATCGTCTAGTTCTCCCTTCAGGCTTATGAGCAAATCGCAAGTTTCGAATATCCTAGGGAAAAAAGAAGGAAATCAAATTGCAGATTTCCAAACCACTTCAACATCCAAAGAAACTCCAAAAGCCACCACTCAAAATAGGGTCACATCCCGATGCTCTTTCTAGTACTTATTTAGTATCGTACTTTGATCACTGTTGTATTGCAAGTCTGGGCTTGGTTCAGAAGTTGTCTGCAGACTTCAACAGTCTGCCACAACTGCAGAGCCTGATCGCAGCATCTTGCCTTCACATGAAGCCCTCTACCTGCTGAAAGTCTCTGGGAGGGCCTCACTCAGGGACAAGCTATTGCTGATCAGCACGACTTTGTGAAACAGACCTCCCAGTCTTGCTGGGCTCTCGGGCTGAGCTGTGCCAGAAGACAGATGGAAGGGACAGCCTCACAAAGTACCTCCATAGAGCTACTGCACGTAGGGAGACCAAGTCCAGCCAGTTTGATACAAAGCAACTAATGTCATCTCCCTTTAAAGCTTCCATCTCTCAGAGCACTCAAGAGGATGTCTCGAACCGGAGAACTCCTCCACTTCGCACAGCAGCACCACTTCCACAGAGTAGTAACCCAGGACCTCCTTTCCATACCCATCTACAAAATCAAATTCAGAAACTAAATAAAGCATCTCTAAGATGTCAAGATTTTCCAGCCAAGCCTACAACTCAAGCACTTGTAGTAAACATTTTGAAAGCCACCAGCAGGAAATGAGCTATCAAGTTCAAGCATATGAAGATGGTACAGCAAGTCAGAATGAGATAAACAGCTGAAGACTGAGCTGTCTCACAAGACTGAGATTAGGTAATTGGTCTCAGAGAACATTTCAGGATGTATAAGCTGTATCTGTACTACTCCGTTATCGCCTTAAACTGCTCCGCATATCCTGGGCCAAGTAGACTGGCATATATATATATACATGCTGTATAGGGCCAAGACACTTATCGTATAGTTTGTGCCTGGGTTTCCCACCCAAGGAAACAATGTAGTTCACTCCAAACTTGTCCATGTGCGCAAATTTGCACGTAGGCAAAATAGCCGAGGTCTAGGAATCAAGATCAAAACAGGGAACAAATTAGCTTGCCAGCACGAGCACCGCTATGCTAGCCAGGGAGGATCATGACTGCCATAGGACGAGGGAGCAGCTGAATGACATGGTTTAGGTTATATCAACTGCTCTTGACTCAGCATGCCCACCATTTGAGAGTCTGCTTAGCTTCCTGGTGCCTCAAAATCACATTTCCAATGATTCCAAGGGCTCTTGAGAGGCACATGTGAAATATCTACTGTCTTGAAATAAATGAAAGAACAGCCTTCAGGAGGACTGAAGGCTATTTGCCAGTCCCTCACCACAAAGCACAGCCGCAGGTAGACCAAAGCTAACAATTTAGGGGGAAACACGTTGCTTTCTTGCTCTTGAAATGCAAGTGAGTGAAAGGCATCCTGCACTCCACAATGACTGAAGTATTCCTGGGATAGCCTGGTGGGCAACCTTGAGAACTGCATTAGTGGGATGCAGGACTAGGTTTCCCCTGTGAAGAAAAGACATTACCTAGCACAAGGCCTGAATAGAGGTTTGGATCACGTGTCGAGTGAGTGGAGCTGGAGAATCCTGAAAATTACTTTAAAAATCAGGTGGGTTTTGAAGTGTGTGAAGTCATACTGATTAAAACGTTTTGCAGAACTTCCAACAGTACTACCAAGAAAACCTTTTAAAATATATGTTCCCCTTCCCCTATTGTAAAACACAGATAAGTTTACCTTGCATACAATCTCCAGACCATATGAATTCTCACCGCGACTGGAAGCACCTCCAATTTTCTCCACTCTGTTGATTACACCTAAAGATGCATCTAGGACAAAAGGAGGGTCCTGTAGACAGTTGAAATTTGTGAGTTTAAAAAGGGGAGGGGGAAAATCCCCAGCTCCTGCTCCCTTATGCCTATATTCCCAAACACATAGTTATGATTCACACAGAATTACTCTCAAAGAACACCTAGGTCTAAAGACTGAGTAGCCAACAAAAGCAGATGGTTTCAAAAGCTTACCCGTTCCATGCTTTTAAAATACAGTCTATAATTGGTAACAGTAAGAGTTCCTCTGATTGCTCCAGTGAAGGGACAGATGTAAGTAACATCCTTCGCTTAAAAAAAGAAAAAAAAAAAAGTTAAACTCATGGTTAATTTATGGAAGTAAAATGACAACAACAATATTTGGGGGTTCTACTTTTCAGATAACAAAATGAAAACAAGCTTAATCTGGGGCTTTAGTCTAGAGCTAACATGCAAGTCTCAGTTCTGTGGAGCAGGTAAAAGTTTGGGTATAAATTGAACTCCAGGCAAGTACCATCACTTAGAATCTTACATTTGCACAAAACTACTAGTCTTGTAAAAAAAGCAGTATTCGGCTGCAAACTGCTTACTCTTACTGAACAATGCCTTGTCAGTATCTGAGAACACCATGCACAAAAAAAAAAAAAAAAAAAAAAAAAAGATGATTCCTGCTTGGATGCGTGTAGCTGACAGCAATCTGCATAAAAGCTAAGGATCGCCACTAAGCTGGTTTGTGGCACCAAGGACAGGAGAAGGCAGTTCTCCTGCATGTGGCTTTTAGGATGCTTGGGTCCTTCTGCACACCCTTGCATGCAGAGTCAGCCCTGGGATGAAGGCCCTCCTGCTAAAAGCCAGCAGAGCTACAGAGATTTCCAGCAGCCAGGAATCTGTATACCACCCAACTGCTGGTGATTTTAAGTCTGAAGTCAGTGATCAAGTTACTCTGCAACAATTCAATTATTTTTGAGCCTGAGTGACGGTGACTCAAAACAGTCCCCTTCTTAAAAGGCCTCAAACGTTTCTCACTTGCTCCAGCAAAAGGCAAGAGGTGCTGCTGGTTTTCCACAGCAAACGCCTACCCTAACTGCCCTTCTGTTTTACATCAATTAAAAATGCCAACATTTAAGTTATTCCCTCCCCGCCGTCCAGCAGTGACCCATCACATCTGCTGCCCCTGAAGCAGCTGGCTGGCTGTGCCGTTGGCAATGGTTTAAATCATCACCAACAATTAATGACACCCCTCAAACACAGAGATCCCTTCCGAAGGGGACCCACCAACTAGAGCTGTCAGATCCATGAAAGAGCCCCCTGGACCATCTTAATAATCTCAAACCTCCAAACTGTATGGGATCCACTTTGCAAGGGCTGTGTGAAACCAGGACACCTCGCCTCCCAGACAGGTGACAGTCACCACACACAGGAGGTGTGACGCTACTGGGGTGTCAGGATGGGGACCAGAATTTTTTCTACTTTTATTCCATGAGATTTAGCCTGGAGGGAGGGAGGAAGAGATTGACTTACTCCAGGACACTGGCAACTGACATAACTAAATCACCCTGATGTCAGCTCTGCTTATGCATTGTCTTCATTGACTCTCAACGTCTGGATATGGAGAAGGATCCTTAAAAAATGAGGAGTGACTAATTCAGAACAAAACATGTAGCACAGAATTTTTGGGCAAAAATAAATAAAATTTTTTAAAAATATGTACACTAGCAATCTCATTATTTATCTATTTATTTTAGTTTCCATGCATTTGTTGAAAGAACAATTAAACACAAAATGCTTCTAGCCAGTTCTAATTAAACCAAGTGTTTCATTATTGGCCAATTATTAATCACTTCTTTTCAAAGACTGGTTTGACAGAAGTTTGAAAGCAGACTCATGAAGCATAATAAAGGTGAGGGCAGCCTGCCTGGTTTTTCCACAGGAGTTCCCATTATTCAAAATGTAATTTCAAAATTAAAAAAAAAAATAAAACAAAATTTACTAATAAGAGAAGTGTGCATTTACATCTGAAAAGGAACAGGATTTCTGGGTAAAGAAAACAAGTGCTAGAAAAATGTTTTCCAGGTAAGGAATCCCAGGCATGATCTCAAACACTGTCCTTGCCAGCTTGTAAGCCACATAACCTTTCACATTTACATTTTACTAGCTGAGTTTCCTAAGGAAACAATTTTACTTAATTACACTGCACATGTACACGTGTACCTACGCAGATGGCTTGTCTGACCTTAACCTTACCACGGCTGTATGATTTCAGCAGTCCCTATCTGATAAATAGGGATCTCCAAGGCATTAAGATCCTTCACTGTTTGTGAGAATGGATGCCAGGTATGAGAGAGGTTGTACTAATGCTACCACCAAGGGAAAGTCTAATAAGCTCAGCCTTTGGTAGATATAAGAGAATCCATGTGGGAGAAAGATCCTGGAAACCAGGATTTATTAATTCCCCTCCTTATGGAATTCCTGCCTTTTATAGGGCCAATTTTACCCTAGATTACTGGGTTGGCTGAAATAATTTTTCTTCCCCTCCTTGTAAAATACACAGAGAATTACATTTGCCTTTCTTGACACTTTTAACAGGAAATAATTATTGCTGATGAATAATAAAGATTTCCTCTTTGCTACCTCTAACTTCTTGCTGGACCAGGCAGCTGCAGTCTGGTGTGCTCCAAATGCCTCCCAGTTTTACAGACTTATGTGGCTCATCACATCATTTGCCAACAGACAAAATACTGATAACGCTGATTTCTTAAACCATTCCTCAGGAACCCTTCAAAATAAACTCCTGCTGTCAGAGCTAACTGTGCCTGTGGAGTGAGTTAGATGTCAGTCTGCAGTGTACGGTTGGAGTATGAGTTCAGAGTCCTTAGAAAGGAGTAGAGAAAAGGACTGAGCATTGAGATGGGATTTTTTTTTTTCAGATTTGTTTTTGATGGTTGTTGGTGTTGGGTGGGGTTTTTTGGTACAGTGTTGGACTTTTTTTAGGACTGAAGTTGCTTTCTTCCATATCATTTTAAGAGGAAGGCAACATGATGAACTAGCAAATGCAAAATCTTTCACAGAAAATTAACCAAGAGGCTTACTCAAATTCTCAGAATAAAGTGCATCAGCAAACCTGATGCATGTCAGAAAGTCTGGATGAAAAAAAAAACCAGAAAAAAGACCCACCCTCATATCACAGCAAGTTCTCTGTAACAGCACTGTATCCTCTCCTGTAGCTTGTGATAGAAATTCGACACACAATTGTTTTGTGTCAACTTGCAAAGTTACCCCGCAGTGAGCACAACTTGAAACAGTTGATCCATGTCCTCACAGGAGGCAGCAAATGCAAAGCTGTACAACCTGTCTCGGTGCTCATGCTAAGATAGGGTGAATTGCCTTCTATTTGCTAAGGAAGAGACATATAGTTACCTTGGCTCATGTGATGTTCTAGACTTTGATTAATGAAGCAACCCGATCATGGTTCTCAAAAGATCAGCAATTTGCTGTTGTTGGTCAATGAACACCAAGATATTTTGCTCTATGGATATTATATTTAGTCAGCAAACAATAAGGAATTTCCTCTTCACATACCCATGTCTTTAATGGTTTCTCCTGGTAGCAAAGGTGGCTCTTCCATTTCAGCCAATTTATTAGTCTCCCTCAGGACCTAGGCAAAAGACAGAGGTAGAAACAGAAATTAATTATGTTTTCATAAACCAAAAAGTTTACACTTACCTGCAACACGTTAACAATATCAAGGACAACAAATATTCAAAGATCTTGAGGTAGAAAGGTCAACACAAAGCATGTGAGATATCTTGGTGCAGTCCTCGATCACACCGCTGGGCCATGGAGAAGTGTTGAAAGCAAGGACGGCTGCAATGGAGAGGCTGCACAACGCAGGCTGCGTGCTTTGGAGCACACTTCCCAGGCAGCTGCCTGGCATGCCCCAACCTTCTCCTCTCCAGCCCATCATCACAAGTCAAACTCTCTCACAGTTACATACGGAACCAAAGGGATCAGTTCCTTTCCCAGTTGAAGTGATTAACTATTACCAGGATGCTATCAAGTAGGTCAATTTCTAGTTTACACTGAGGAAAGTTAAAAAGGACACCTTGTCACACCACTGTCTTCAGGGAGGGTCTGACAACAGCCACGATCCCAGTTTGGCTCAGTAGTAGTGGCTTGTTACAAAGGTTATATTTTGATAGGCATGCATAGGAGGTACAGCTTTGATTCTTTTTTTTTTTTTTTTTTTTTTTTGGCTGCCAAATGACCCCTCCTCCACTTTCCCTTGGGTTGAAGTCATACCACAGGGCATCACTTTTTTACAGGTATGATTGCATTTACACAAGGGGTTTCACAAGAACAGCTGCTATCACAACAGATGGACATTTTAGGAAAGCATGGCTCTAACTATGAAAGCATAACCTGAGGTCTAAACCCATGGTAAGAACGAGGGGAGAACAGCATATATAAGTGACCAAGATCAAGGCTAAGTCTATGTGGCCAAACGCAGATGGATTTAACCATACTGCCCATGCCTCGAACCTGCCAAACGACCACCACCGCAGCAATACACCAATTGTTAACCTAGTAACACAGACAGAGAGCAGGCAGGTTAGTCCACACTCTGCCTCATGCTGTAGCAACCACAAGACTTTGGCTTTAAAGTTGGCATGCATCCAACCTGGTGGAGATAGGCAGAGAGAGCTCATGTCTTCTCACAACTGAATGTGCAGACTCGCCCAAAATGCTTTATCTTAACGTGAGGAAAGAGAAATAATTGTTTTAATTTGGTATCACGAAATCCCTGCAAAGAAAATAAAAAGACTTGGCCTAAAGTAGCACTATAGAACCTGACACATCTGTGGTCAACTTTCATGTAGGATCAAGCCAGAGGGAGAGCCTGAGGGAAGAAAAATTCTCTCAACTATGCAAAAAAATTAAAACCCAAAGAAACCTCATGCCACAAGAAAAGCACGTTCCAGCATTTTCACACAACAGATTGATGTACAGATGAAAAGATTAATAAGATCAAAGCCTTCTTAAGAAAAAAGATGTAAATTTCAAAAAATGCATTCAAAAGACTCTTTAAAAAAATATAACAAAAGCAAGCACAGTCCTGACTTCCTAACGGGAACCTCACAGCTGCACCCACTTAGGCCAGCTCTTACCACGGAGGCTGCCAGAGCAGCCAGACTGGGGTCTACCGGATGGGCACAGGGAGGTCACCATCGACAGAGCTCACACTGGCAGCACTCAACCTGCAGGAAAGCTTCTCCTCCCCCACATCAGCAGTACCAGGAAAAACAAGGTTTCGCTGGTATAACTAGCAGAAGTCTATGCTGAGGACTTCTTGTCAGCACAGCTGTGTTGGCCAAAGATCACACATCCCATCAAAGCCTTGACGGATGGCCTCCCCGACAAAAGCCTGTGATGTAGACTCACTCTCAACTCCTATGTCAGTTTTTGCGCTTGAGTAACAGCCTTGAAATTAGCAGGATAACATCCGGATTAAGACAAATGAGATGGGAGGCTTCTGGTTGATCAGTCCATAAGTAGTGGTCATCTTTGTGGCTCCCTTATCTTGGAATGACATTAGTAAAATTACACTCTGCGTTCAGGACACAATCACACCTGGTTTGAGAAGGTCTGTACCCCCAACGGGCAGCAGCTGCTGCTAGGATCACTTCGGCCAACAGCTGGACTCGCTGCTCTTTTGCAGATGTCAGTGGGAGCACATCCAGCGGTAAACATTTGGAGGACTGGGTTCTATCTTAAGCCAAAACAAATATGAGGTAAGATACATAGAAAGCATTCAGTATGATGAACAGCTGGTGTGATCACCAGGTGGGCACCGCTCCGGTGGGATTTAAACACTGTACTGCAGGATGAGGAGAGGAGAAGGGAAGAGGCAAGCCATACAAAAGAGAAAGACCTCCATGTCAACACCACTCTGCTAAAGGCTAGGTTGAAAGCTTTTTTGGTTTAAAAACTGGCTCTTCTAAGTCTAATAAAATCCATCTGCTCATTCGCACGCTTTGAAACGTTGAGTCCCCAGGGTCAGAGGAAAGGATCAGCGATCCAAACCTGCGCTCACTTCAACACAGGGCAGTGGATGGATGGCCTCCTGGAAGCACAGCACTTCAAGGTCAACAGCTTCTGCCCCCTTGCCTCCCCCCCTCCCCTTTATTTTTTCTTTTTTTTTTCTTTTTCTTTTTTTTTTTTTTTTTTTTTTTTTGTACAGAGTTGAGGACTAAACTGACATTTTCCCCATCCCCCAACTGACCTCAGCCACACGACCTACCTCAGGTAAGACAGCACCGACTGCCTTCGGTATGATTTCAAAGTCAGCACAAGCACATCACCCCCGGATAACAGTCATCCTTCCCAAGAGGCTGAGACAGACATGGTCAGAAAGCCCAGGACAAAGACATCCCTGGTGTGCCGGTCTTTGCAGCATCTGCCCAGCTCTAGACCTTGAATGAGCCTCCTAGCTGGAACGCGAATACTTGAAACCTGTCTGGGCAGGAACCGAGGAATGAATGGTAGGCGTTTTCCTGAAATAAGCCTCCATCCACAACTCCTTAAAATTGATTCAGGGAAATGCAATCTGTGTGCAGCTGACGATGCAGGCAGTGCTGAAGGACAGGGGATAGCAGGAAGGAGGAAAAGTGGGCAGACAAGGAAAGAGGAGTTTTGGAAACAGATCAAGGGGGAAGAACAGGATGGGACAATGAACATGGAGCTCTGAGAAGACACTAACACCATAGATGGACCCTCTGCGCCCTATATGACTACGGAGGTGACATGAAGAGCCGCCTCCACCTTACTGACATCCTCCCCTGCCCCTCAAATACAAAAATGGTTCATTAAACTGTGAGAAAAATCTTTTTTTTTTGTACATTAGCCTATTTTCAAGACTCTAAAAATAATATTTCTGGGACCAGATTTAGCCCTCTGCAAATCTTGCAAAACGAAATTAAGAGCTCCAGTGAGGCCAGGAAGCAGGTAGGGGAACCAGGGACACAACTGTGGCAGCCCGGCTGCAGGAGAGGGACGGCTGGCTACTGATGCATTAACTCTATTGAGGCAGGTACCATACACATCTGTAACTGAAATGGTTTGCCTCTGTGTGCCTCAGGTGCTTAAATTGTTCACTGGAAACAAAACCAAAGAGTGTCTTGAGATCTGCAATGAAGGTCACAGCCAGAGCTGGGCAGGAACAGCATTACTTCCAAATAGGAGCACAGGGATGTAGAGACACACACTGGCTGTATCTGTCACAACCACCGCTAAGATGGCTTCTGTAAGAAACAACTACAACCACCAAAAATCAGCAGACTACTTTGCCTTGCCTCTGAGCCAGACAAAAACGTTATGCTTGGTAACTGAATCTCCAGGAGAATGAAGAGTTCAGTTACCCACCAGAATAAACCTTACCTCTGTCTTCTTTTACCAAGTAACATCATCTTCCCATTCCGCCCATCAGCAGCTCTCCCTCTAGACAGAACAGCTCTCCAGGATACTGAGCATAGGGGTACCTTAGCACCTAAACACAAATCCTACCTCAGCTCAGAGGGGGTGTGAGGACTTCGTGCCACCACCTACCTTTGTTCTCTGCTCAAGCAGTGACTTGGCAGAACAAACCCACACTCGCTACATTTAACAACTGCTTCTCTTGCTCCAGGATCCTACCTTGTGTTAGCTCCAGCCCACTTACCCATGGCTGAAGGTGCAGAGCTCTCTCATGTCCTCCCACCTGTAGCGCCCAAGGCAGGGAAACCCTGATGCTGTATTGTTGACACAACCCCCACATCTCACCAACAAAATGATCATCTCCTCTGCTTGTAGAGGTTTAGGTTCTAACAAAAAGGTAAGACTGCTCCCTGCCTCCTTCCTTACCTCTTCATACTGTGATTCAGGGTACTGCAGTTCTGCCAAGCCTCTCCAACCACACGTTCACATTGCCTCTCAACACAGCTCCAAAAATCCCTCTCCTGACTGATGTCTCTGCACGACTCACGCGTGAGGCTCATCCTGAGGAGCCTGCACTGTAACTCTAACTAAATGGTCTCAGAGGTCTGTGCATCACTGAACACTGCTCTAGAAGTACCTGAGAGGGTGCATGAAACTGTATTCAGGGTTTTGCCTGTGAACAAAACAACTGATATGTTTCATATTGCCCAAGAGGCGTTTGCCTACCAGCAGAGCTGCACAGCCTGGATGACAACACACGTCCTGGGCTGGCTGAGGCCAAGCCAGGATTGCCTCCTCCTGTCCCATCTGCCAGTGCTGTCATTGCTCCTGTATCTAGTTCAGTCAAGACTCCTGGGTTAGCCTAATGGCTTTTCTAATGGTTGTTTTTCCATAACCTGGATCATTTTGCCAGGACTAGTTTGGGGTGTAAACCACACAAGCAGCTCAAGGGGTGTAAACCCAGGGTGAGGGAGGGAGAGCAGCAGGGCTGGCTAAGGACAGTAACTTTGTCCCTGCGCACTGGCATCTGCAGTACAAGCCCCCAGATAACAAAGATGCATGAAGAGGGCACCTGAGGTCCTTCCCATCCATTTTCCAGTTATTCTCCTCTACTCTTTCTCCTGAATATTGGAGTCCTGAAACCCACAGACAAAATTTGACTTCATGCAACTTAAAGGTAGACTA